GGACACAGATTTTTCTATATAGAGGAGAAAGATTTTTTTTTAAATCATTAAGTTTATTGGTACTTTTTAGGTATACAGTGTAGTTACATTCATCATTGGGATCTTGTACCTTTACATGATGTATCTTGGTTCTCATTTTTCCCCCATATCCCTTGCCTTCCCTTTACCCCCTCCACACTTCCCTATTTACAAAAACTTTGTTTCCATATTTTCATCTTCTCATATTTTTTCTTTTCCCTTATTTTCTTTCCCCTACCCTTCCCACTTCTCCTACACCTTTAGCCCTTTCCTTCCTATTTCACATGGTCAATCATACAATTTGGATCTTGTTTACACTTTTAGTTTTTCATGCCAGAGAATTTACATGTATTATTATATTTACATGTATTATATATATTCAGTATTTACATGTGTGTCTTATTTATTTCACTTAAGAGTATGGCCTCAATATGCATCCACTTTTCTATGAATGATTCAGTTTCTCATTCTTTATGGCTGAGTAGTACTCCATTTTATAGAAAAACCATTTCTTATTTATCCAGTCTCCAACTGACGGGGAACTGGTCTGTTTCCAATATTTGAGAGATGCAGATGAATACAACACTGAGATTTCACCTCACCCCAGAAAGAATGGCTGCTATCAAGAAATGAACCAAGAACAAATGTTGGTGGGGTTGTGGGGTTCTAGAAAGGAGCCCTTCTCCATTGTTGGTGGGAGTGCAGACTGGTGCACCCTCTATGGAAATCAGTATGGGGATTAGAGATTCCGTTTGACCCAAGTATCCCTCTGTTGGGTATCTTTCCAAAAGAATTAAAAGAATCATACCACAGTGATATATGTGCACCCATGTTTATAGCGGCACAGTTTATAACAGGAGAGAAACTTTGAAGGCTGTGTAGAGGAGCCTGAGCCTTCAATTGACCAAGTCAAGTTACATCTGGCTGTCTTGAATGAACTGAGTTTGGAAGTCAAAGGTCCACTGTATTTGTAACCCATACAAGCACTGGGATGATAGATAATGATGTCTATGATTTCAGAGAATTACATCCAACTACTGTACTTGCTTCTCCTTCTCAGGTTCTGTCTCCAGAACCAACCTCATGCTTTCACTATAGACTTTAAGGGATCATGCAGAAAGAATAATGGGAAAGGGGCTGCAGAAGAAAGAATGGTTTCAGGAGATGGTTTCCAATAACTGATAGTCTACTCCTATCTCTAATTGCTTGCTGGCTTAAGTGCCAAACTGTCTGTTGCTATTTATTTCTTGTTTATTTCACAGGACCACATACACATAGTTGCTTTCTGATTTGTGGTTTAACCTTGCCCTGCACTTAAACGGCCTGACTCCCAGGGCACCGTGGCTGTCTGACATGGTTCCCTAGCAACCAAATGAGACAGGGAAATGTGCACAGTTGCATCACCACAAGATGTTAGGTCAATTAATATTCATTAGCAGTGCCTGTATTTGACTGCTAGGAGACATTATGGAGAAAAACATCTTTGTTGCTGGAGTGGGGGATGGAAGAGAGGGGACCAGTGTATAGGTATATTATGCACTGTGGATGTGTCTTATATTAGTACTATGGCCCATTTGTACATGTATATGCAGATTTTTAAAAAAATTATTGTTTTTACAATTATCCTTCTAGGTTTATTATATGGGAATAGATTTCAGAAACAATAGGCAGATTCTACCTCAAGGTATTTATCTTGGTGGGCATGAAGGGCTTGACTCTGCCCATTCATGACACCTAAAATCATATTACCAGTAATTATTTAATTTATTTTATGAGTTTTTCAGACTATTGTGTATGCTTAATGTAGGAAATTCATTGAAAATATATAAACAGATGAAATTAGCATAAAACAAAAAAACCCAGAAATTTCCTGTGTATTCATCATATAAAGATAATCACTATTAACCTTTTAGTATATGCCCTTTAAATGTTTTTTTCCCTCCATAGGTAACATACAGCTACATATAATTTCAGAAAAGTGATATTATTCTATATGTACTGTTTTATGAACTGAATCTTATAATTTAGTATTGTTACTATGGATATTTTCATGTGTGTATAACATCATTTTTATTAGTTGCATGATATTTCAGTGAGAATATTTCTTATGGTTCATTTAACCAATCCTCTGTTTTCAGTCATGCATACAAGTTGTTTATATTTTTTGCAATTATCAATAATATTGCAGTGAATATCCGTGCACATTCATCTTTGTCCAGTTTTTTTCTAAGAACTAATTACAGAAGCAGAGGACCCATTTAAAAATCTTTTGTACACTATAATGTTTTCTTTCATAGAGAAAGGAACAATTTCAACTTCTAATAGCATATGAAGGTACCCTATGATCTTCTTTTTAAATGACCTTGGGGAGATCATCACGTTCCTCATATTTTACCAGAGACTTCCCTTTATGATACCAAGACCAGGGTCACTAGTCTTTTGAGAGAGAGGATGCAAATTCTAGAAGAGGGGGATATGGGGCTGCAGAAGATTCAAGATTTTACTTTGGGTGGGCCAACTGTTTCTGGGGAATTTATCCTTCATAGCTCAAAAGTGCAACCTGAAACCAGGTGGCATAAAGGTGCTCCTTGTTGTGATGGTATACTCCATATACCTCCAGCCCCCAGGTCCATTTTGTATCCTGGACAGATCATCCCTGGGCATGCACGCTGGGGAGGTGTGACACCCACACCTATTCCTATAGCTCTGAGTTTTGTCTCAGCCCCGGAAAGATGATGGGAGGGGGTTAAGGAGAGGCCATGAAGGTCAGTGGTGGGCATGAAAGACTTGACTCTGGAAAAGAGAGAAGGCAAGTGTCAGCCCTCTTGGTGAGGAGATGGGGTAATATTAACAAAGGCCAGGGAGCACCTGTAGCCTGAGAAATTATTCCAATACTGTTTTAATTTTGGAGAGTTGACTTTTTACTCCTGGTTGGCAGAGGGCACCTCCCACCTTACATAGGACAAGAAGCAGGAGAGAGAGGAGTGTGAACAAAGGCCATTGGCCCTTGCCCTGATTCTCTTTAAAAACAGGTCCTGTTTAAGGGTAATCAAGTGCCATAAATTCAACTACCAAATAAACAAAACCAATGCAAACATTGATGCTCACTGGCTAGACTGGGCAAAGGAGTTCATTCCAGGGAAAACAAGCTGGCCTTGATGGTCTGAAGGCTGGGGATGAGAATGAATGGCCAGGTATGGCGCATTCTCTCCATGAGAGCAGCAGCTCTCACAGTGTGGTCTGTGTTCCAGCAGTGCCAGCATCACTTAGGGCAGGAATAGTGAAACTTTTAGGGCTTTCAGTGGTACAAAGAGCCTGCTGCAGCATGTGTGTGCTGTAGTTCCCCACCATCAACAGAGGGGCTTAGAAATGCAGCTACCTAGCCCCTCCTAGGCCTTCTGAATTGGAATCTCTGGGAGTGAGTGGTTCTGGGAAATCTGCGATGCATTCATACAGAGCAGAGGGGATCTTAGTTTTCAGTCTTGGCTTTACTTCCCATCCTATGGGACGTGGGACAAGCCCTTTCTTTCTTGGCATTGTGTGAGAAGGGGAAACCTTATACGTTTATGCTGTAACTCCTTTCCTTGTTCATAGTAATTTGAATAAGGGTGTGTGTGTGTTTGTGTGTGTGTGTGTGTTGCTAGTATGGTCCAATTCTTCTTTTCTTATCCCCTTCTTTCTCATGAGATAATAAAGCTTGTTGAAACAAAAGCCCTGAGTAAAAAAAAATCAACGTATGATATTCGTTGTGAAATCCACTGGAGAAATGGATGTTGAGGTGCCTGAAGAGCTGCTTGGCAGATCCCAGAAGGCTGGCAGATTTCCCTAGAGAAGCGGAAGATAGATCTTTGCAATCAGGATTGCAAATGAAATATGGATTTGGATTGGGGGTGATTTAAATTTGTGGATCTGTCAGCTTTATCACTTTAGAGAATGCTCATTCCAGTTTGAATCACTTTTTCTTTTCTCTTGGAATTGATTTGTTGGGCTACTGGTTCAATAAAATATCACTTTTCTTGGGTTTAAGGATTTTTACAGGTTCAGCAAATTAATGAGGTCCATTTTGTTTTGGGCTGCTAATGCACCTGGATTCTAATCCAGCTTTAGCAAAGAGTAGTGAATGTCTAACTTTGGGCAATGTCGCTTAGCCTCTCTTTGCCTTAGTTTTCTTATCCACAAAACAGGCATGACAATGACAGCCTCGACCATAAAGTACTGTTGTGGGGGTTCCATGTGCCATCATACTCCAAGGGCTCAGGATGCAGCTTGGTATGTGTTTGCTCTCATCACTATTCCCATCTTTCCTGCTCAAATTCGATTCATGTGGCTTGCACGCAGTGCAGCTTTGCTGGGAAAAGGACTCAAATCAACTTTCTGCATCATTTCTACAGCCATATCCAGCTGCACTTGGAACTAACTGCCTCTCATTTGTTTACAAGGTATCTGCTTTCTCTCTTTTCACCTCCCTCCCCCTTCCCTCCAATTTCCATTTCTTTTGTGAAATGGTTAAAGTGCTTGACATAATTAGCTGTTAATTGTTAGCAGCTGTACCCATTATCAGTTTAATGCCTAATTAATTGCAACAATTAATGCTGCCTGTCCTGTCTTAGGAACTGTTGATAAGGGAAGGCTGGTGTTGTTGAAGTTATATCTTAATTAATTTACCTCCAATTTTTAGCATTTAACTAAAATCCCAAATCAGAAGCTATTTTCCTCCTGTGACTAAGTGAGGAGTAGAGGGTATCAGTGCAATTGCAGTGGCCTGGGCCCATCCTGTGTGGGTTGACTGTCTCTCGAGGTCAGCATTTGCTCTCAGGGAGAGGATCTTCCAGCAGCTCTAGGCCACCCTACTACAAAGCAGGAACCTACGCACAAAGGCTGTCTTCTTTGAATTTTTTGTGTTTCCCTGTTTGAGAAAGTGACAGGCAAAGAAATTCATGAGCAAATGGACTCCTCTCCACATTTTACTCAAATCTGTTCTGGAGTACATGCTCTATGGCAGATGACTTGTATAGTGATCCATCCTGGATTTAACATCAGCAGAGGAAGGCTATCAGGATTCAACTGAATCTTCAGTGTCAGGTGGATGTTCAGCAAACCCCTGTGGGAGAGATTGAACAGAAGTTGTCCTCTTTATCTTGCATCTCCTGTGAGCCTGACTTGTTGCTACATACATATATGCTTCACATACATCTTTCCTGACTCTAAGAATAACCTTGCCGGATGGATATTGTTGTTTTTTTTTTTTTTTCTGTAACCACTTTGCCGATGAAGAAGCCAACTCATTGAAGTTAAGTAACCTACCTGATTCCAATTCGCATCCAAGCTTCTTGCTGTATGATCTTGTCTTCCTTTGAATAAATGATAGGCAAATCTTACCACTGTGGTCTAGGAATGGGATGTACTGACAAAAGGCAGATTAATTGAAGTAAAGACACACATTTTATTAATGTACATGAAGGCAATCACAAAGTATATTTACCCACTATCCCAGCATGACTCAGAAACATGCTTTCTCCATAGGGGTGAGGGAGAGTGGGAAGGAGAGTAGCAAGAGTTAAGAGGACAGCAAGTAATCGGGGAACTAAGTGGGCTTGGAGAACATTCAGTGGCCTGGAAAAAAGTCCACTGGGCTGAAGAACAGACAGTGGTTGGTAAATGATTCCAAAAGTCTGTCCTGGTGTTCTGACAAAGTTCAGTCTTTCTTCCTGTGATAAAAGTTAATGAAAACTCAAGTAAGGGACTAGGTAAGTTTGTTTTTTTTTCTTCTTTAGGAGGTCCAGTCTTGGGCATCATATTTTTGGGTGACAGTCCTTGGACTCCTCTAGGTGATTGGTTTAAGAATGTTAAAATGTGACTTTATCTCTTTGGGTGTATCCTGCTGCCTGTAGTCCTCGGAAGAGGACAATCTTGGTACAGAAGATGAAGATGGAACAGGTGAACTTGGCTGAGGGATATGAGGAGAGTGGTAGAGAAAAGGATTGGCAACAGGTTCCTCTCTCTGGGCCTGGAGGAATCAGTGACATAAGTGCACACTGGCTGTGGGCGAATGTCCCAGGACATTTTGTGCAGGACAGGACTGGAATCTGTCCCAGAAGCATGGTAGTACACCAGGAACTGGGGGGGTGGGCACGCACAACACTGCTGTATACCACCACTGTGGCCTTCTGGCTTAAACTCTGGTAAGAGCCACATTTAATATATAGATGTGGTAGGCTGAAAGGATGGTCCCTCAAAGATGTTTATATCCTAATTCCTAGAACAGGTATGTGTTACTTTATATGGCAAAAGAGCTTTGCATATTTGATTAAGTATCTTGAGATGCTCAGATTACCCTGGATTATTTGAGTGGACCCTAAGTGCAACATATGTATCCTCATAAGAAGGAGATCTGACACAGAGGAGAAGGCAACAGGATCAAAGAGGCAGAGGCAGAGATTTGACAGATGTGACCAAAAGCTTAAGAGTGTTGGCTGCTACCAAAGCTGGAAGAGACAAGAAGAGATAGTCCCTTAGAGCCCCTGAAGGGCGCATGGCTCTGTCAACAAAGTCATTTCAGGCCAGTGATACTAATTTTGGATTTCTGGCCTCTGGAATGCTAAGAGAATAAAATTCTCTTGTTTGAAGGTATTGAATTTGTGCTAATCTGCTAGAACAGCCATAGAAAACTAATACATCAAAATTGGGCTTTCCATAATCTCTTTACATCATCCCTGAGCTTTGGTAAAGTTCCTTTAATCATTACAAGAGGTAAATGAAAAAATAAAAGAACTAGTGATGAGAACTGGAGCCCCCCCACTATATTTTAGAATTATCTGGTTAAGAGATTTCTTGCGGGTATATACAACTCATCACTAAGACTTCAGTGTGGTAAATTTGGGATTAAGTCTGAATTCATATTTCAGAAAACCATCAAACTATGGCTTAAACAAAAGTGATGTTTAGTTTTTGCAAAAAAACTCCGAACTGGAATGCCAGCCTCACAGAGGGGTTAGGGAGCAGACTTTTTCGTTTTAATTGCTCCAGTGTGTCTCTACGCTCATGGTCCAGTATGAGTTCTATTCTCTGAGTTCTGAGAAGCAAGATGGAGAAAAAGTTGGAAAGAACAATCTTCTATTTGATTTTGAGGGAGCCTTCCAGAAAGCCATTTCTGCTTACGTCTCTTTGGTTAGAAATTGCTTTCATGGTGGTGTAGCAATGGAGGATTAGGGTTGAACTATTTTACTTGGGTGAGTGTTTCCAGGTAAAAATTTGTGTTCTGTTAATAAAAAGAAACAAAAAGGCATATTTGAAGGCAGCTCACCGTTTCTGCCTTACCAACTATTTAAATTCTGTAGTTGTGTCAGTGAGACTGTGGAGAGGGTTCACATTATAATTAACTGATGTGTGGGTTTAAAAAAATGCCTCACTTAGAATAGATTTTGATTCTGATGCTACAGTGTAAATCTGATGTTTGTTTACAAACTGGAAAGGAACCATGAAAGAGTGGATAGAATGGCAATGGGTCTGAAAACCATAAGGCAGAGAAGAGGAAACTTCGAGTAGGTGGGGAAGAAATTTTTGTTTTTTTGGTAAGGACAAAATAATCTTTTTTCAGATAAATTCAGGTCTTAGCCCATGAATATGAGAGTGAACTATATCTGTGATAAGACGGGAAGAGAATGGGATAGAAGGGAGCCAGATTTTAGTTCAGTAATAGAAAGAACTTTCTAATAGCTAAAAAGCCAGTGATGGGACAGCTGCCTCCCGGGGATGTGCCTACCTTTCTGGGCCGGGACTTGAGGAAATGCAGGGTGGGCCATGATCAGAGGCAGGGCTGGTAGACTTGCCTTCTGATCACATAGCTCAGTGGGAATCTTAGGGAGGCCCCTAGGAGCTTTTCAGATATCACAGTTGAGGAAGACATAGCTCTGTAGGAGACTGTGTCTAGTTAAAAGTTAAATGAATGAGGCTGAGAGAAGAGAGAACTTTCCATACTCAGCAAAACAAGGCCATGGTTGTTGCTAGGATAAGGCCTGGGGTTATGCCAGCATCCCCAGGACATGATGAGGGAGTGTGGCTCAGTTTGGAGCTGAGCCCCAAATATGAATGGCTCCGTGTGTGTGTGTGTGTGTGTGTGTGTGTGGTCATTTTATATGATTCTTGCAGTGCTGTGCTTGGTAGGGACAATCAGCCAGTTTCCAGCCTGGCAATCTGATGTCCAGGGGTCAAAGGTGAGGGCCAGAGTGGAGGAAGAGGCCTGCATATTTTCTTTGTTGAAGTCTATATGGAATTAAAGACTAAAGACTCCTGGGGACTTAATGCTGAAGATTCTCCAAGAGGCTGTGACTCTGTGCATGCCTTCAGGCTGGTATTTTCATGGGTATTTGGATTATGCTGGCTCTGTTGAGAGAAACTCGCAATGCATGAAAAAGAGATGCCTCTCTAACGAGGAGAAACACATGGCTCACTTTCCATGAAATGATGGCTCAGTTCCCACTAACAACAACAGGACTAGGGAGAAGGTGAAGCATGTGTGTGTAAGGCTCTATCCTAGGAACTTCTGATGGCTTGGCATTTTTTGGCTGTAAGGGATAAAGTCAAACTTTCTCAAACTAGCTTGAGCAGAAAGGAAAACTTCCTGACACTATGCTATCAGATCTCTCTCTCCCTCTCTCCCCCTCCTCCCTCTCCCTCCCTCCCATCCAATTCCCAGCTTGGCTTTGATTTTTATTGGCCTAAATTTTCCAGTCACCTGGAAGAGATGGCTTAGGGATGTACAGACCCACAGCTCACATTCCAGCCACCCTGTGTCTTCATCCCAACTCTGTTCTGTAGCCAGTTGTCAACTGTATCCCAGAAAATGGCCCTTTTTGGAAACAGGAGGCCCTTAGTAGGAGCTTGTAGACAACCCAGCATAGTTCTCAAGGCCTCCCATGCTTCCCTTCTTCAGTTACCCAAGAGTCTGGGGAGGTTAATCTGAGTATCGATACTCAACCAGGCACCTTGTTGTTATTTCTGATAGCAGTGCCAGAGCCCTTTAAGAGCTTAACGCGGTGACTGCTCCCAAGTCCTGGACAGGAGCTGCAGCCAAGGAACAGCTAGTGTGTCTTGCTCTATGGGCCTGAAATCCCTTTCCATCATGCTTACTGCCTGGTCTTGATCTCACTCCTTTGACTTCTCAAGCCCTGGACCCGGGTCCCTTTGTTTTGTGCTTGTCAGCTGCCTGCTTTGGCCTCAACCTGGAGCTCCACCTTAGCCTCTTCCCAACAAAGACAGCCTAGACTTCTCTTGGCAGAAGCTGTTTTGACAAATGCCCAGAGGCTCCTCTTCACCTCTCAGGTGCTGTGGGATTACTGTTTGCTCTGCTTGCATATGAAGCTGAGGTTTTCCTTTGGCAAAGGACCAGGGCACAGTGAATTAAAAGATTTTGGACAGATTAGTGAGTAAGAGAGCTTTTAGGAAGATTGAACTTTTAAATTGTCATCATGTGTCCCTGTGATTCTCACCTGTGAGAATCAGGGACCTCTGCTGTAAGTAAACAGAAGCCAATTTGGGCTGGTTAAGCAGGAAAGGTTTATTTAACAACTGTCTGTTGTCTTACATCAGTGGAGGCCAGAGTAGCAGGCTCAAGGCTACACATCCAGAATAATGTCCCATCACACATGGCAGAACTGGCCTATTGAGAAAACTGCTGAGGCTGCTGCTGCCGCCAGCTGGGTGCTATGATTTGTATCCCTGCCAGGAACCTGACCATCACTGCTATTACCGCCTTCAGAGTCCATGCCATATCTGGTCCTGGAATGACACCTTGCCATCGCTGCAGACCCTCTACCACCTGCTTGTGCCTTAGCTGCAAAGGAGGGCAGTGAGGTGACTACTCTTGCTCACATTTGGAAAGCATTTCCTTAGGGTAGGGGATACCTTCAATGTAAAAAAAAGGGTTCAAAAGGTGTTAAGGTGTTAGAACACTTGACAGCTGCCTATCATACTGCATCTTTGTAAGGAAGCAATTTCCACTTTACACAAGGGTACTGCTTGATAGGGTTAATTAAGTGACTGCATCCTCATAGGGGAGCTGTGGATGAGGGAGGCATGCAGGAAAACCTAAGTTCAAGTTCCTGGTGCCCATGAGGGGATGGGATCCTGTATGAGTGTAGTGATAATGTCCAGGCACTTTCCTATGTGCATCTGCAGGATAGATGGTGGGGTACATCTTCAGACACACTAGTTGGTTCTGTGCCTTCCAGCCCTGGGTTACAGAATGCTAGAGTAGAAGATTTCCCAGTGTGTATCTTTCCTAGAGTTGTCTGAAGAAAAGCAAGGGGTACCCATCTCACATTCATCCAGAAGGAGGCTGAGGGGAAAAGTGATGAATGGAGCCCAAAATGAGACTTAATCCATCAATGACAATTCTTCATCGTGATATTCCCAGCAATGCATGGCTCTTATCAAGTCTTGCTTGGACGACACTGGACTATCCAATACCTAAATAATGCTGGCATTTATTGAATGCCAGGTGTCGTGTTCTGTATAGAGACTTTACATAATATTTGTTAATCCTCATGGAAACCCTGTGAAGGGGAAGCTAATTTTATCTTCATTTTACAGTTGAGGAAACTCAGATTTAGAGTGGATAAGCACTACTGATTAGCCAGTTTTGGCAGAACTGGTGTTTGAACCTCAGCAACCAAACCTCAAAGGTCCTGTTGCTAAGCAACCTCTCTAGAATCTGCCCTAGACAGGAGTTTGGGTCCTTCTACAGAGGCTTGGATTATCCTTTGCTCTTCTAGAGTTTCGTCTAATGGAAGGCTGGAAAAACCTAAGTTATGGAGAGATATCTATGCTAGGTCTTGCACACAAATATAAATTGTAAACCTAGCAGTACTCTGCCAGATCACAGAGCCCATCATCCACAGATGCTTCCACCAGGAGCTTAACTAAGTCACTAACTTCAGACCAAAGGATGATGAGGAGTTGAAAAGCTGAGACTAAAGGCAACATCTTCTAGCAAGTGTCTGAGACTCAGTACAGTATTTGGAGGATATCTAGGAGGCTGCTCCAATGAGGGAGAGACTTCAGGTGTCCAGGGAAGAAGAAGGAATCATTGAGAAGGAGATATGTGGAGAGAAAGCCCTTGTAGGGAAAGAATAAAGTGAAGACTACTCAGATATGTCTCAGGGAGCTGTGACATCATGATTTTTGTGTCTATATAGACCTGCCTCCAGACAAAGGCAATCCAACCACCAAGCAGCAATTTAAATCTAGATCTCTTCAAGAATGCTAAGAATGAGCTATTTCAAAATCCACTAGTAGTAGTTCCCTTTTCCTCTTCCCTAATTGTCTCACTTTCCACAGTGCCCAAATCCCATTCCTTTTCTAGCCTGATTCATGTGGTTCTTTCTTCCTTTCTTGTGCTCCATGTGGTGTGAATATAAAGACTAATGCCTTGAGTCAGTAACTTGGGGTTTAAGACATGAACCTGATTAGCTTCTCTTGCACAGTTCCAAGGAATCCAGCCAGTCTTATGAGGTGGAAATATGAAGGTTGTCTTGGGGCTGGAGTTTTCTGAGGCTATTAAACCTTGATGTCTGTACTTGACATGCAGCCATGGATCCAGCAAATTAGTGATGAAAAAAGGTAATCCAGGAAAATACAACTGGAAACAAAAACAGAAATCAGATCCTAGATCACCCAGTAGAGCCATCAAAACAAAAAAGCTGGGAAGGAAAATGGCAAATCCAGGTATGAAGTAGTAGGGCAGGAAATGGAAGCATATGAAATGAAAATAGCTTTCAGGCAGAAGGTAGAAGGTGGAACCAGGGGAATTTCCTTCAATGAGAGTGGGTAGCACCAGGATTTTATAAGGCAGCTGCAGCCTCATGTAAGTCTGTAATGGAGAGAAAGAAGGTAGGTTCTGGTAGCCAGTTAGCTAGCTGAGAGTCTCATGGTTATATATTTCAGTTCTTCCAGATACACACACACACATACACACACACACACACACACACACACACACAGAGACAGAGAGAAAGAGAGAGAGAGACAGAGAGAGAGAGAGAGACAGACAGACAGACAGACAGAGACAGAGATGGAGCCAGATGGGGAGGAGGAAGTAGAGAAGAGGGGAGGGGAAAGCAGAAACAGGCATCAAGAATAGAGAAGAAAGGCAGCATGCCATTCCTGAGTCTACCATAAGAATGTTATAAACTAAGTTTCCTGGACTGTCTCTAAGAGGGTCCTAACTCATGATTTTTTTCTTTATCTCCAGCAAATTTTGACAGGAATGATTGCAGAACATTTTTTTAAAAAACCTGAAGCAGATTTATACTTCTAGTTAGCTTTGTTGTTCTGAGAATGCTATTTGGAAAAAATCTGATTCCAGGAACCAGTTCTAATCTTCAGGAGTAGGCAGGAAGCCTTTATTACTACAGGTTTCCCAATGGCGTCTCATTCTGGAGTTTCCATGTAGAGAGCTTGGTCTGGAACAGCCTTGGGGACGTGTGGGACAGACAAGGCCCAGCCAACCATGAGAGTGGACAACACACACGTCATCCAGATGCTTCCAGGAGCCAGGTCGTAGGTTCTGGCTCCTGCGGCTCTGGCTAGCTGGGAAGCTGCTCAGGCATCATGGGATGGCATTGTCCTGTATGACAAAGGATGCACTTACTAGAGTGTGTATCACGCAACTTCTCAGGCCTTAAGCTAGCCTCAGCTGGTGTGTGTGTGTGTGTGTGTGTGTGTGTGTGTGTGTGTGTGGTGTGTATCCATGCACATGCACTCCCCTAAATACCCTTACTTGGAGTTAGCAGCTGGCACCCAGTCTGACAGCACATTACATATGGGAAAATCTAGACCCAGATATGGCCTGTCATG